TTTTTTTTTTTTTTTTAAATTCCAGTAGCCATTCTCCTTCCTTTTTCATTTTCCCTCCAGTTTCAATTTCATTCCAGTTGAGTTGTATTCATTCCTCTGTTATTTTTTCCTCCCTCTGTGCCTCCTTTTTTTTTTTTTGTAAGGATGTTCATGTTGAGTGATTACAGTGGAGACGGGCCCGTAAAGGCCAGTTCAATTACTGTGTTTGAACAGCAGTGCTCTCTAGCGTTGTGCTCATCAGAGACAAGACTCTTCTCAGTGTGCAGGTTGTATCATACAAACACAGAGCAGCTCTGGCTGTTTAGCTCGTACAAACACATTTATATTCACAGACAATCCTCGGCTATTCCAAACCCTTTATAGATCATTGGCGTTGGCAGCTTCCCAAGATGTTTTTATTGAATTCTAACTCATCAGGCCAAGAGGAATGATCCATAAAATGCATTGCAGGTTCTGTAGTCGATGTCATACCTGTTACCAACACGCTAATGTCACTCCATCCCACTGAACATTTAAAACAGGATTTTCATGGTTGCTTACGTTGGCTCGGCAGCGTCATCGTCTCGGGGGGTGAGCTGAGGAGACGGGACCCCGTGGCAACAGGATTTGTGTCCATGGAGCCGCCGGTAATGAGTCCCTGTGAGGTCGGTTGTAGCTAGGCGCAGTTTTAGTCGCTTTACTCATCCGGATCCTGGAGTCATGAGTCAGGTTCCGAGCAGCGAAGGTGATTAGAGCGACCGAGAAGCTCGCTGGTGACCTTCTTGAAAGTTTCTGTTGCATCCCGGTGCCCTGATCAGACGGCTGCAGAATAGATGCAGACGTGTGTGTTTAAAAGTGTGTGTTTGGATTTCAGTGGCTTCCTGCAGGTATAAATACTAATCGAGGCCTTTAATCTGTTGTTGCTCATTAACCTCTCATCTCCGGGGTGCAACGCGTCCGACTTGACCTTTAGCATTTCTGCTTTTGATTGATAGTCGTGATCACGGCGCTCTGAGCGTTAACATTGACACGAAGCATATTTTCCCAGTTGCCTGTGGTGGCGTCTGACTGTGGAGATGGGTTTGGTTTCATCTGCCCTGTGCGGCTGGTCCATTAATTGCATGCATCGATCCCTTTGACCCTCCTGCCCACATGCTGAAGTGCCCTTGGGCCAGACACCGAACCCTAAGCTGCTCCCGACGGCAGGCGAGCAGCAGGGAATCGGGTGAATGAGAGGAAAACCTTAGAAGAAGAAGAAGAAGCTCTTTATCGGTGCGGTCCATTTAGCTTTTCAAGATGTGCTTCTCTGACTACACAGTACAATGCAGGTCAATGGAGTTTATAAGTATTGTAAAAGTACATTTCTCCTCTTGGATTGAGCGTTTGTTGGATCCACATTAGAGCTGCAGCAATTACTTAGCTGTCAAATTAGAAAAACAATATGTTTGATAAGTTGGTTGGTCACATTTTTCTCATTTCAGCCTCTTAAATTCTGCAATATTTATCTATTTCCTGTTGTTTTTACTCCTCTGTGACAGTAAACTAGACATCTTTGGGTTAAAACAAGACATTTCAGGACGTCCTCTTTGACTTTGGAAAACACTGAAGGACATTTTTTAGACGCAGCAACTGGTTAAATAATCGAGACAGGATCACTCGACGCTGGAAATAAGTTGCAAGCCCTCAACACTGTCTTCAACGTGTTATCCAGAGTGATGCAGAAGCTGCTTCGACCAGCTCTGTAGATGGCAGCGTAGGTTGGATTATTGCTTTGCTCCACACTAAAGGATTTCAGAAACCACTGAGTAGATGGTTATGAAACATTTTCGTGCTCCTCTGAGGATAAGTTACCATCACAGCTCCAACCTTTGTCCGTTCGTTTACGCGAACTCGGACGAGCTTCGTAGTTTTCTGTGAATTTCAAACCCCGCTGAGACTTCCTAAACCCAGCTGCAAATTGCTGGTTCCTGTCAGGGTTTCTGCAGAGATGCTACACTGCAGCCTTGGATCAATACTTGCAGTTGTTGCTGTTCTCGTGAACCTCGTAATGCGGTCGAATTGACTGCTTAAATGATTAATGGTGCGAGTTGCACTGATAGCACAATGTGCCGTCTATTGATCACTTTTATACCATCTCTGCTCCCGGTCCGATCGCTGGCTGATGTGAAATATGATGATTATTCTGTGTGTGTGTGTGTGTGTGTGTGTGTGTGTGTGTGTGGCATTAGGAAACGGAAGAAAGAAAACGCTCCAGCACTGCGTCCAGAGCCACGTGTTTGCCTTGGTTGCCCTGGCAACAACAGAGCAGACAAAGCAACCGAGTCCTTGAAAGCAGCAAAAGCCGAGAGAGTGGATGTAGCAAAAGGGAGATATGATGGAGCGCCGGGGAGATGCAGGGGAGATGTGGTGTTTTTTTTTGTGCGACTGCGGTTTGCACGTGTGTCCAGAGTGTCTGGTCGAACAAAAGGACGTCTGGGACACGCGGTGCTGCCGCGTCGAATTATTCCCACTGAAAGGAAGATAATCAGACGTGTTTTCCTTCATTTGTCCGTCTGCACAAAGAGAAAAGTCACACAAGCGAATAAAGTTTGCTGTCGGTTTTGTTCCCCTGCAGCGCTCAGGCCGATGACCGGGTGAGAGTTGAGAAGAGGGACGGCGCTCAGTTCGAGTTCGCCTCGGCCATGAACACGGTCACAGAGTTCTACTGCCACTCCCAGGAGAAAGGTGCTGTTGCCTCTCAGTTAGTCACATCATCAGGAGTCACAGCGGTACAACTCTGTGAGCAGTGGGCTGAATACGTGTTTGTACGTCTTGTGTCCTCCAGGCTCTCGCTCTCTGTCGAGCGTCGCGTCCTTAGAGAGCCCCGTGATCTGCTGTCTGGGGCCGCTCATCCGGTACCTCCAAGAATTCAACTTGGAAAGAGTTCTTAGGAGCGAAAGGTAAAACAGACAGAGGCGACGCAGGCTGCAGGCATAATCAATACAGCAAACTGTCTTTGCTTTTATTTGTTAGGCATCACTGAAAAAAAACAGAAACGTCTCCCTGGGTTTACATTTGGATGTGTCACCTTGGAATCTGGGAGGTGATGTTTATGCCAGAAAGATTGTCAATAAATTATAAATACTGAAACTAACAGTCAGTTGCACCCTCATCCTGTCAGAACACAGAGTTTCCCACCTTACAGGAATATACCAGGTTTTTTTTTTATTTTTTATTTTTATTTATTTATTTTTTAAAAATTTTTAAATTTTTATTTTTTTTATTTTATTTTTTTTTTAAATGTATTTTTTATTTATTTTATTTATTTTTTATTTATTTTATTTTTATTTTTTTCCTGTCTCGTATATGTGTACCTGTTGAATACTGCTATCAACGATGTGAATTTCTCCACTGAGATAAATAAAGGCATATCTTATCTTATCTTATCTTTATTTTACAGCTTAACAACTTTCACAACATCAAGTATTCACAAGCCAGTAAGAGAGAGAATAGCTTTCTGTCTCACTCAAAAAGAAAAAAAAAAACATCTCTCCTGTCATCACGCTTTTTTTTTTAAACCTCTTCCCGGAGTATAAATTGATCATTTGATCATGCAGCTGTAGTCTAACAGGATTTTGTGCTCCGTGCAGCTCGTTCCGGCGTCTGTCCTGCGAGTCGGAGGGTCTGATCCTCAGCGCCGCTACGCTCAGGAACCTGGAAATACTCAACAATCAGGTAAAAACACATCCCAGCTGGCGGTTCTGGCCACTGATCAAGCATCATGTACAATACCAGCAACTGAAAACAGAAACGTCGACACCCTGTAACTTTTTAGATACCACCAGCTCTACAAAGCAACATCTTCCTTTCAAACCAGTGCTGATAGTATATTTTGCAAAGCTGAAACCAGTCCTTCCTTATCATTACTGATGTGTGATGGCACCTATTTCCTCTCTGAGTACAATCCAGGAAGGTGTCCTCCATTGCCATGCTGTTATATTTGTTCACAAAAGCTGTCCAAAAAAAAAAAAAAGAGAAATGAAAAGCAGGCTGTACCCGATTCATTTGATGAGCTGCATTAGACTTTATGCTAAATCTTATTCAGCCTCGGCTACGAATGCAGCATCACAGAATGCACCAGAAGAGGAGAGGAATCAGCCGGGTACACAGGATATCTGCTTTACACACAACGTCGTGCTAATCAGGATTCTGTTTGGACAAAAAAAGTACCAGTGAAATATGTAATGAATTAAATAAATACCAAAATACACGTGTCAGTGTGTCAGAATGAGTCCGTAAGCTGTCGATCAGAACGAATAAGAGTGGGTCAGTGGATGTTTAGTGAGCAGAGTGAATCATTACAAATGGGTGGAAGGGAAACAATTTGGCTAAAATTTCAAGTTACAATATTAGTTACAGTACTTTTTTTTCTATCCAAGCATTAGTTCAAGGATTCANTCTAATCACGGTGCTGAAATGTGGTTTACTATAATAAATGCAAATCCAAAAACACATGTGACAGGTTAAAATGAGGTCACTTGTTGTGACAAACTAACAAAAAATGTCATTCAACTATATTGTTTTAAAGCCTAAAATTATGGTATTTAATTAACATCACATTATTCTACATGTGTCATTAAATTAAAGGATTCATTCTAACCAGATTCCATAAAAAACAAAAAAATTCTTCACAGAGTTTACACAGAGCAGATAAGAGACAAATAAGGAACCAATATAGAAATGTAAGTAGTAAAATATCTATAGTATGTAGAATTAAAGAGTCTTTTCCCGTTTTAGTGACTCTTAAAAAATGTTGTGCTTGTTGGTTTCAGGTTTTGTCATTTTTCGTAAAACAAATTGAAGAAATTTAGTCCTTTACTTTTAACGATTTGCAGCATTAGATCAGTGACATACTGCACAAAGACCTGGTGGAGGTTCCTCTGCTTCTGTCCATGGTTCTGCTGTTTCCACTCAGCTGTGGGACTTTATCAATGAAACATCATAAGTAAACATGTGGCCAAAAATGCCCAGAAACTGCTTTTTTTCTTAAACACTTTATTTTTATTGTTTCCGTATAAATAGTCCACTTCTCCCATTTTTCTCGACATAGTTCTTCTTGAGTTCTTATCTTACGGGTCAACAGCTCCATTGCATGTATCTCACTCACGATTGTTGGTGGATCTGCTTGAAACCATTTCCTTGTGATTAAAGGCTGATATCATCGTTTTCAGTAAATATCTGTCCTCTTTTAATACAACATTGCCTGACACAGTAAAACACATGTCTTGGGTACACTACAGCCCAGAATCTGATGAGCAACCTCCCAAAAGTCTTTGATTTTTTGGATAAAACCAAAATACATATTTCCACATTTTGTCCAGCATGGCCGTGGTACCGACGAGTGTTTATGTCTAGTTCTGGGTGTGATGAAGAATCTAAGTTCTACCAACAAAATCATCTCCAAACCCATGATGATGTGGATGTCTGCCCAGAAACTACTTCTAGTTTACGAGGTTAAAC